GCAGGATTTAATTTAAAACCACATCACTTTTGAACCGATTCACGTCATTAAGGATGCGGTCTTGCCATATGCTTGGAAGGAGCACTGCGGTGATGAATACAGCTGACCAGTTACTAACGGACGTACGTTGTGCATTATCCTAACCGATCCAAAAGTATATTTGAAGAGGCTGGAATATAAATACGTGCCATGGAACTGATCGAGAGATACGAGTTTCGTGAGCAATCTGGAGACTGGAATTTGCTTGCTTTGTCCGTTTGTCAGACTTAAACACCTCACCAACAATCTGCGGGTCTGTCCAATCCGCCCAAATCCCGCAAAACACGACGGATTCGAGGTTTCAGATTTCATTCTAGTCGTTCAACTTGGCCGTTGCGCTTGTTGGCCCGACTCGACGAGATAACAAGAGATAGCGCCAGCTCTCCTGACAGGTTGGCGACTTGATAAACGGGCCCAGATCCCAGCTAACTGTGATAAATCTCATTTAGCAGGTCGTTGAGCAAAGTGGGCCCTCGAAACTTGTGACCGCCTCTCCTGTCAATTTATCCAATCATCCATTTTACCCTCAGAACGCCTCTGCTCCTCCCCAGATTCTCCGAGAAAACTATACACTGCCGAATCAATCCCACTAAGCCAAGATGATGCGCACACCCACTCTGCAGGATCATCGTTCCTCTCCTATCAGACACTCCTCACAAGGCGTAGACGCAGATGATGTTATTCTCGAACCCATTGCAAGCTGGGGTGAACTCCAGAGCTTGGGTATGGGCATGTTTGAAGACTCTCCCACTCCGTCCGTCATAGCCACACCACTCACAACCCGTCGAGATTTGGAAGAAAAGGAAAAAGAGAAAGACAAGTCCATACATACGAATTGTCCTCCCATGACGGGCAAGATTCGAAATCAACTTTCCGCTCGCAAGTCTATTCAAGAAGCCTTGAACGACTGTGGTGACGACGAAAATTTGAGAGCGTGTGTGAGGGCCGCTACAGAATGCGAAGAATACAAGGTGGGTAAAGCGGTTCCTGCCGAACTACTCAGCGCGTTGTCGGAAGTGGTTGGTGTGAGAAGCCAGAGCAAATGCCGGTTTCCTGGGTGTGGAAAGTTGAGCGTGCGCACAGACAGAGCAAAGGAACACGCTAGAGTACATATTGGAAATCATCCATATAAA